CGGGCGCCGGTGCGCGCACCCCGGACGCTGTCAACCTGCGAAATGCGAAATGCGAAATACGTGTATCCAGGGTTGCCGATGGGCTTTTCGCCCTTCTCGTCTCCGTCGAGTAGATATGGAGGGCAGGCAGGTTGGCTGCCAGGGGCCCGCGTGCTGCTGCGCCGGGATGTAGTGATGCCGCACCCTGGGGCGCACCGCACGCGCGAGGCCTCGACGCAGGCTGGGGTCTCCGCCCCCGTTTCCCCGCGGGTGCTGGCCCTTCACCCGCGCGCCCCCGCCCGGTGCATGCACGCGGTTGCTGAGGGCATTGCGCTGGGCGTGCGGGTAGCGCTGAGCCGCCTGGGGCTCAGATTTGGGCGCCCGAGATGGGGACGGACAACAAACATCAGTACAGTGCCCAACAACAAACGTCGTCCCAAACCGACGGCGGTCGCTGTTGGACAGGCGGTGCTTTGCTTCATAGAACACGTCCGCGGCGTCGCGAACAGCGAGTCCTGTTCAAAATGAGCACGGGCTGCTGCTGGGCATCGTGCCCATTCTCTCCGTGCCCATGTCGAGCGTCCCGATCTGAAGTGGCCCAGCACTGGTTCCGGCCAGCAATCAGGAGGGGAAAGACACACAGACACACTTACACAATGAATCGTCGATTCCTAAGGAAAGTATGGAAAATATGGGAATTGGGCGCGAAGGCAAAAGCCCCAAAAATATGGGAACATATGGGGAATATTTTTATTTGTGTGTATTTATTTGTGTGTCCCAGGGCCCCTTCAAGCAAGGAGGGCGGGTAGGCTCGAGGTTCTGGGTTCGGCAGGTTTTTTCATTGTGTGTGTGTTGTTCTGCCTCCTGGGGCCGCCTTTTGAGGCCCGGGGGCCAATCTGGGGTGACAAACTGCACCAGCTGCTTCAGCCGGACCGGGCGGGGGAGGGGCTCAGGGATTTTACATGGAGCGGATTTGGCGCCATCCCCCCGCCTGCCCGCGAGGATCTTTTGCCCGTGTCCCCGGGACAGATGACAGCACGCAGTCAGGGACTAGACTCATGATATTCCAGCCGACTTTAGCGTGAACTACCAGAAAGAATTTCGAACACCAAGAAATTTCGAAACTCGAGGGTTTTCACATGTCGGGCCCTGGGAGACAGTGGTTTGACATTGTTTCGACATTGTTTCGACACTTTTCCGGATGCTCGAAGTTATTTTTGGGTTGTGGTCTCTAAGTACGATGGGCGCAACATTAGACTAGACGATCAGCCTTGCTCTCAAGTCGCGCCGTTCTGGCCATGGCGAACAAGGGAGTTGTGCAGGGAACCCCTCTACCTTGTCTTAGCGTGAATATTGGCGTTTGTTCTCCCCCGCCGGCTCGTCTGCGTGCTGTCTTGGAGCCGAGGATCGATTTTCTCACTGAGACAGGCGGCGCCATGGTCGTGTATTGGCTCCTGTCTTGTGTTTTGGCAGGGACTCGACACAACCGAGCAGCCCAGGACCACCCGTTGCTGCCTGTCTGTTGTGCCGCCACCTTGCCCCTGAACTGTTGTTTATTGTTCGCTGTACTGTGACGATCTGCCTTATTGTTTTTGCTTTGCCAAGACGGCAGCAACGACTACCAGCACCCTTGGCGCCAGTGCCGCAGCTTTGCCCATTACAGTGTTTCGCGTGGCCGGTTTCCGGGTGCTCTCCTTGTCCCGACCAGCTGCCTTTTGAATCAGATGCGCAATCCAAAAACATATGTTTCTCCTCCTCCTCCCTCCTGCGCCCTATCTTCCCTGTTCCTCCTCCCCCTCCTCGTGCTTCTCCCCTTCCCCCCCCCGCCTCCTTCCTCCGCCCTCTCCCCTCCCCCCTCCCATCCTCCTCCTTCTCCTCCTCCTCCTCCGCCACATGTATTCCCATGCGGGCGCTCCCATCTGGCACCGTGGGCTCAGGCATGCGGTCAAAGGGGTCCGGGTCACGCGCCAGTTGGGGGCCTTACAGGCGCTGTGGTCTGACAACATCCCCACGCACATCCGCAGGGACATGAAGCTTGGCAGGCCCATGCGCTCTTGTCAGGCTTGTGGGAAGGACCTGGAACCTGGCGACTGTTGGGGCCATGTTTTCTTGGAGTGTCCCGCGCTGCTGACTCGTCTCCCTGCTGCGGCCTTGTGCCCACAGGGCTCGGTGGGGAGTAGCGGGCATCGAAACGCAACGCTGGGGGACCAGCTGACGCCCAGCGATACCTCACAGCAGGAGCGGCATCTGGAGCTGGAGCCGACGGAGCATGTCCAAGGCCTCCTCGAGAGTCGGGCTGACGGACCTCCAAACGCTTGGGGACCAGCGGGCGTCCAGCAGCACAGTGGAGCAGGAACGGCCTCTGGCGCAGGAGCCAACGGACCATGTCCAAGGCCCCCTTGGGAATCTGAGCGACCCGACCCTGCCGCAAACCATCTGCGTCAGGCACTCCAGCATGATGGAGGATGAGGACGATTTCTTTCCTGGAGTCGGCCATGGTGATGCTGGCGATGCAGACGAACTACCGCCTGACGTGGTGCAGCACCTCAAGGAGCAGGCAGAGTTGCGCGGGCATTTCGACACGGAGGCGCTGCCGGCCGCACGTGGTGAGGCACCCTCCCACGCCACGACTGCGGCGCTGACCGACCAGTCCAGTGTGGCGGCAGAGGTGGAGGATACGCTACATTCCGAGCGCGGCAAGCGGCAGCGACGAGGGCGTGGTCTCTCTGACCTCCCACACGCATTGGACGAAGTACGGGATCAGCTTATCCAAGCGGGTCTTGGCTCGGGCATGCCTAACTTCGAGCAGTCCTACCTCATCTACGGAGTGCCAGAACCTCCTGCCTTCCTGCCGCAGCCATGTCTGCGGAAGAGCGAGGTTTACTTTTGGGGGGGCGCAAACGGCCAGTAGGGTCCCACTTCATACACCGACGGGTCTGGATACGACTCAGGCGTCCCTGAAACACGACGCTGTGGGCAGGCTGTGGTTCAGCTCGGCCCGATATCGTGGCTCCCAGTTAGAGCACGCTATGGGCCCCTGCCGTATCTGGTGCAAACGGTCGGCCGTGCCGAGCGGTAGACTAGCAAGGAAGGCCTCGAAGCATTCCCCGATCATCAGTAATTCGCCACCGACCTGCTGGCACTTGGCCAGGAAAGTGAGCGGTGGTGCCCCGAGCTCGAGATGGGGCGCGCCAAACACGCCAGGGCGTGGCGGGACATCTTCGGAGCCAGCCGCAGGCGTACCTTGACGTACCCTCCCAAGTTACGATGGACGCCTGCTCACAGATCCGTGGATGAGCTGGTCGACGCGGGCCCTGTGGAGCTGCGAGACTGGCTAGGCAACGGATGGGCGGACTACTTTGCGGGATGCGGGGCGGCTTCTCATGCCCTCGCTGGGTCGGTTGCCGAGGCTGTCACGGCGGCCCTCAAGCAGCACCGCAAAGTCCTGCAGTTCATCTCCTGGGCGGCGTTGCAGGTGGTGGTGCGCAAGCGATGGGGGATTGATGAGGAGACCCCCAAGCCGCCAAGCGAGCAGGTCAAGCCCATTGTGGTGGCTAGAAGCATGGACCATGTCCCAGCCTTCAATGCGCACCTTGGGCGGTATCGATGCACCTCGTGCGGCGCGACGGCCACAACTGGAACTTCGCTCGGCTCGCTACGTTCTGGGTCACTGCGCGTCTGCCGACCCACGCGCGTGGTTGTGGCCCCCAACGCCGAGTATGTCCGCGACTTCGGCGACGGCTGGGTCTACTACCGAGACGAGAGGGTCGGCATGGCGTTTGGTGCGGCTGCTGCCTCCGATGGGGACCCGCAGCCCATGTTCCCCGAGACGCTGCCGCCGCACATGGCAGTGACTGAAGAGGCTACTGTCGCCTTTGCCGCGCTGGGGCACGACGTCCTCAAGGGTGGCACCGTGTACTGCTGCAGGCGTTGCGGTGCTCACTGTGTCGCAGGGGATGTCCGCACCGTGCGCAAGCTCGGCTTGAAGTGCGAGGGGCTCTCGCTGAATGAGTCCACGCGTCGCTATCAGCAGGGTGCGATTGGGCGGGTCGAGCGGGGACTTGCACCTCGAGCGCGCCGACCCCCAGCGGTGCTTGGGCTGCGGGGCAAATTCATCGCGCCCGTGCTCGCGATGATCCGACCATGTCGGTGATTCGTTACACTTTTGTGCCTGGGTTGTGGCCCGACTTCCTCTACGTTGGCGTCGGCTTCGACCTGCTGGGCGGCTACTTCTTGTCGCTCGGTTTCAATGCGTCTGGTTGTTCCTTGGCACCTGCGCCGTCGGCGTCGGCAACAACCTGCTGGGCTACCTCTCGCTGGTGCTCGGCCTCTACCTTGCCGCCTTCTCTGACGGCATCGCGCCGTGAGTCGGCGGCGCCAGGCGGCAGCCCGCCGTGCGCCCGCGGCCGCGGGCGCGCGGCGGGAGACCTCGCCTGAGGCGGTGCGTTCGTCTTCCTCCTCCTCGTCCTCCTCCTCTTCCTCCTCCTCCTCCTCCCCGTCCTCCTCCCCCCCTGGCAAGGGCAGCGCGGCGAAACAGCCCCCCGATGCGCCAGGGGGGGAGCAGGAGGAGGAGGAGGGGGGGGAGCAGGAGGAGGAGGAGGAGGAGGAGGAGGAGGAGGAGGAGGAGGTCGACGAGGAGAAGGAGAAGGAGGAGGCGGAGGCGGAGGAGGGAGGAGGAGGGATGATGATGATGATGATGATGATGATGATGATGATGATGATGATGATGATGATGAGAGGAGGAGGAGGAGGAGGAGGAGGAGGAGGAGGAGGAGGAGGAGGAGGAGGAGGAGGAGGAGGAGGAGGAGGAGGAGGAGGAGGAGGAGGAGGGGGAGGAGGCGGATGCGGAGGCAGAGGGGGGGGAGGAGGTTGGAGGCGGAGGCGGGGGCTGAGGAGGAGGCGCAGGAGGAGGGGGAGGAGCAGGAGGAGGAGGCGGCGGAGGAGGAGGAGGAGGAGGAGGAGGCGGAGGAGGAGAGGAGGAGGAGGAGAAGGAGGAGCCCCCCCCCCCCACACCCGTGGAGGCATGGCCCCCGGGCGTCGCGCGCTCCCCCCGGGCGCGGCCGCGCTGCTTCTGGCGCTGGGGCCGCTGCCGCCGTCCGCAGAGGCCGCCGTTGCCGCCCTCTGGGGGCCGCCCGCGCCGCGCGCCGCCGCGCCGCCGCCCTGCGGTCGTCGTCGTCGTCGTCGTCCTCGTCGTCGTCGTCCTCGCCGTCGTCGTCCTAGTCGTCGTCGTCGTCGGTTTAAGCCCGTCTTGTCCTCCCTCTACAGGAGGCAGATTCCAAAATAGTTTGGGGACGATGTTCCGATCATGTTTGGACGGTGTTTGAGTATTTTGGTTGTTGTTGTAAGTCCTCGTCCAGAATCCCCCTGTAGGGGGACATGCCCGACCTAGTCGTACGTCGGTTTGTGTCGTCGTTTTCGCCGTCGTCGTCATCGTCGTCGGCGGTGCCGCAGTCGCCGACGCCGCCGTCGTCGTCCTCGTCCGTTCGGGTATCTTTACTCGCGCTCGTTCTCGTCGTTGTTCTCGTCTAGGCCCCCCCAGATGGGGGTCGGAGATAGTATAGTCGGAGGATCGCGCCGCATCGCCGATGCATCGGCG